CCCCCCCAGCCCCCCCATCTGCCCCCTTCCCTTCCAATATACCCCACACATCTGCCCCCTTCCCTTCCAATATACCCCACAGCTCACACATCTGCCCCCTTCCCTTCTATATCCTCTAATATACCCCACAGCTCACACATCTGCCCCCTTCCCTTCCAATATACCCCACACATCTGCCCCTTCCCTTCCAATATACCCCACACATCTGCCCCTTCCCTTCCAATATACCCCACACATCTGCCCCTTCCCTTCCAATATACCCCACACATCTGCCCCTTCCCTTCCAATATACCCCACACATCTGCCCCTTCCCTTCCAATATACCCCACACATCTGCCCCTTCCCTTCCAATATACCCCACACATCTGCCCCTTCCCTTCCAATATACCCCACACATCTGCCCCTTCCCTTCCAATATACCCCACACATCTGCCCCTTCCCTTCCAATATACCCCACACATCTGCCCCTTCCCTTCCAATATACCCCACACATCTGCCCCTTCCCTTCCAATATACCCCACACATCTGCCCCTTCCCTTCCAATATACCCCACACATCTGCCCCTTCCCTTCCAATATACCCCACACATCTGCCCCTTCCCTTCCAATATACCCCACACATCTGCCCCTTCCCTTCCAATATACCCCACACATCTGCCCCTTCCCTTCCAATATACCCCACACATCTGCCCCTTCCCTTCCAATATACCCCACACATCTGCCCCTTCCCTTCCAATATACCCCACACATCTGCCCCTTCCCTTCCAATATACCCCACACATCTGCCCCTTCCCTTCCAATATACCCCACACATCTGCCCCTTCCCTTCCAATATACCCCACACATCTGCCCCTTCCCTTCCAATATACCCCACACATCTGCCCCTTCCCTTCCAATATACCCCACACATCTGCCCCTTCCCTTCCAATATACCCCACACATCTGCCCCTTCCCTTCCAATATACCCCACACATCTGCCCCTTCCCTTCCAATATACCCCACACATCTGCCCCTTCCCTTCCAATATACCCCACACA